AAGAACAAGCACAGAGGCTAATGTGCAGGGAAGGTTTGTGCATAAGAAAGTGTATATACAAACTGGCTCATACAAACACGCCGTACATGTCAACAACATGGCTAGCTTTCTATGTCTCAATAGCTTCTCAACTTTTGACAAAAGATAAACCAAATTTTGATAGTAAACCATTCAGAAGATGGAGCTGCGAAAGGCTAACTAATTCACATCTCAGCGTCCAATGAGTTCGTAACTACAATGTTACAAACCTCATTATATATACTTCTTGGGCAAACTCCTTCTGTAGTTCTGTATTCAAACGCTCGGCCTTGAGAATTTTGATTGCTACTTCCTGGCTGCAATATGTACCTTTGTATCTGAGACAATATTATTTCTTAGAGTCAATTGAACAGTCAACTGCTAGCATAAGCTTTGATTCCTGATGTGTACAAACTTACAAATCGCCATATGACCCCGATGCAACTTTGTGCTCAAATTTCAGAAGTTTAGGATCAATTTCCCAGACATCAGTACCATCATTGGGTATTCTCAAATGATCGGGTTCACATTTGATTTCTACTTTCTCATGATCACGGAGTGGAGACAAAGTATGTTGATGCGGCCAAGAGCATTTCTGCAAACACACAGAATATGTGGAAGTCATTTCAATAGTGCATAAATAGAATTACAAAGAGGTTATTTAAGCATAAGTCAAGAGTAAATTTAACATTGCAGGATAAAACAAACCGTGCACTGGAAACTACAAAAATATTTTTATTTAATCACATTTAGTTACACGCAGCAGATAAGTACCTCAAGCTTCAAAACTTCTTTATCCACTGCAGCCCGGAGTTGCTCAACCTCCTAAAAAGAAAACAAAAAATAGGAGTCAGTCAAAGTTCTCAAGACTGCAATTGGAATTTTAAAATGTGTGATGGTGATGGCATATCTCTTTTCCCTCTATCGGGAAAGCACATTTTTAGATAATGCGAGAAAAAAAGGGTCCAAAATAATAAGTTTGTAGTCTTTTGGTGTATTTTACAACCATGTGTTAATTTTAAATCTATTTCATCAAATTTATATGAAAAACTAACTTTTTATATAATATATGTACAAGTTACCTTGTTTTTAAATTTCGATGCATTCAAACTCAAGTAATCATTGTGATATTTGTGTAAATTAGATGTGGAACTCCTAAAAGTCATTTTCATCACATTTTAAACTAAATATAGAGTATTATAATTATTCATTTTAATAATCCTATTTAATTCATGATGCATAAAAGTAGACAATAGGCTCAACATGACCAAGGAAATGATTAGCATAGCATAGTATTTCATTTCAAAGGGAGATTTCTATTTTATTCATTAGGGTCATGGACATCGCGTTATATTTAATTATTTATCACTGAAAGCACTTCCAAATTTTTTGTTTTAGGCTTTCCATAAAAGTACATTGATTCATAAACATAAAGCTGAAGTGGAAAATGCAGTCTATAAAACAGAACAAGGTTGTGTTTCCAAAAAGAATGAAGCACTCTAATCATGATGTATGAAATAAAATACTAAGGACGGAGATACCTCATATGGCCAACCATCAACAACAAAGACATCTAGAGAATAGCCATCAACAGTGGAAAAGGCATGTGCTTCCTGGATATTCAACCCAACTTCAGCGAGTAAAGAAGTCAACTGCATGGTTCACAATGCAAAAGTTCAGTCCTGTGAGAAAACTTGCTCATATAAAACCATATTGACCAACAACTAGGTGCACTTACTGAACACAACACAAGTCCTCTCACTGCCAAACCTTCCAACCACACATGAACACTTGTCCAAGGTTCATTGACTTCACTGCCAACCAACTATTAACAACTAATTTGGAACCCTACACCGTCAACTTATTACAGTTGCATCTCACTGCAACAGGTGTTACTAAAACAAAATCCAATTCCTTATTTCTGTGGTTTGGTCATTAATTAGAAACATGGTAAGTTTACTAATCAGTATCAATCACTTTATTTTGATTTGAAACCTGATAATAAAATAAAATATTTAAAAGTGGATATTCAGGGAAAAATACAAATTGACATAAAATTAGAAATTAAAAAAAATGATAAACAATTCAAAATAGAAGAGAAAATTCAAGTGAAACAATTTTAATGGAATTGTTCGGAAAAACTTTCTTCAAATAGCATTTAATGGTTGTCTATATAATCTGTAAATTATTTCAACAGCCACCCTTCTTGTTTCCTTTCAAAAGTATCACAATTGAATCAAACGAAATTGTAAGTGTATACGGAGAGGACAAAACCAAGTTCTCGTCTATTACTGTTATCAAAACAGTAGAATTTTAGACTCCATTTAACAATACACATTGTGAATGGCAAGCAGATTTAGTCTTCCAGCCCTGATTGCAATGAAGAGTACACTATAAACGAAAAAACAAAACGCTTCTTCCAATAGTCACTCTTTTTACCCAGAATAGTAAAATTCATATAGCAAACCACTTGATGCCAATGTAGAAGTTATTTTGACTCTCATCTAAAGATTAGATGGTGAAGGAAGACACAAATAAATAAACACTGTCATCAATAAATAACCAAAAGTAGGGGCACCAGTTTGTGCAAGCAAATAATCATGGTAGACGGGGTATCAGAATAAGTGAGAAAACCAATTACCTGACTCAGAAGCTTTGGCTTGTCATCTGTCGAGAAAGTAATTTCATGCATGGGCCTACATAATCATAAATATAATTAAGCATTATAATACATAGGGTCAAAATTTAAGCAGATATTTTTTTGAGATAATTTAACTTATAGATCACATATCAAAACGTAAAGAAATTATTCGAGTTCCAACCAAAAAATAGCAAATATTTTGATGGCACAAAATATCACAACCAACATAAAGGGATAGTTAAGATCAAAATAATGAGTTAGCATTACTCCCAGATAGAATCAGAATAAGAATTTTATAGCAAAGAAATCAATCTACTTGGAAAAGATACATTAGAACATTAGTGCATCCTGGAAATAATTGGATGTGGATTTCCTTTGATTTCTTATCTCTAGAAGATTAAAAGGTTAATATTGTAATTAAACCACTACCATACAACCATTAAGATCAAAAGTATAATCTCTTCTATATTGTATACCTTGGAAACTTGGAGCCAGCATATACAGCAATATCCCCCCCATCTTGAATTTCTGATTTACTTGCTTCAAGAGCAAGTGCTTCAAGATTGGGAGAAGAACCAAAGGCTGGTGGTGGATGGATACTGAGACAAATATATTGGAGGTAGAGATTAGAGCATACCCACTAACAAGATGATAATATGATGTGTAAGAAAGAAAAGCATCTACTAATTGCCATTAATACATAGCCACAATGAGTTATAGTAACATGTTGTAGCAAAACATCAGGGAGTATGTAATCCAAGATTAATCTTCAAAAGGAAGTGTTAATACCTTCCCTTTCTTGGTGAGCGTGAATGGACCGAATCTGCTGAATTTCCATCCGATGAAGGTACAACCTGTGCAATACCAATTACAATCCAGCCATCAAATGATAAAGACTGAGTAAGATGAAAGAGATGAAGAATGAAAGAAGATTATAAGAGCAAAAAGGTTGTCTATTAATTCCGATGGCACTCCATTGATGAATCACAGATCAAACTTAGATTTATCCAGCCACATGAGAAATATAGCTGGAAGAGGAAATGTGAAAGTCAAGACTCAGAGAATCTCAGACATTCTTTTCTGGTTTGTGTGCAAAAAATGTATTCATGCAGGTTCAAAACTTTGTACCTCATAAGAGACAGAAATAAGATAGGATTAGAAGCAAATATAAAAAGTTAACAGGTCCAAATTCATAAAAACACAGTTAATTAACAGAAGAACAATACCATTTTCAGAATTTTGTGAATCCTTACATGCTATTATTTACCATCAAATAAGATACATAGATTGGCAAAAAGAATTTTTAAAATGCTCGAGCACGAGTTTAATGGATCATACGTTTGTTTTTAGATAGTTCCATTTTTATTTTTTTTGCTTTGATGGGACTATAGTTTCATCTATGCTGCCTTATTTCATTTTTCTTTTCCCCACAGTCAGTCTACCCACAAACAATGACATCCGGATTTCAGCTTCTAAATGTCTTTTAAAATCTCCTTAAATGTCACAATGAGTAATAAGATTGTGTATTAGCAAGACGCAGAGCTAACTATTGAAGACCTCCACATGCACAATTCAATAACAGCAAGAGGATATTGAAACCAAGAATAGGCTATTCTATAATAATTGAGTTGAAGGTCCTAATAAATCAACTTACCTGCACAAGCCGGACTTCAAATGCGGGCCTATTTGCAGGATCACGTGCCAGATGCAGCAATCGCTTATGCGTGATAACATCTTCCGCCCTTTCCACATTCACATCCATCGCATACCTTCATGCCAGAAACATCAAAGGCATCAATTGCTATGACTGTAGACCCGATTGCAACACACACATACACAGGTAGAGAGAAAGAGAACAATTATATTCGACATGCAAGACCAAAAAAAAATGATAATAATCAGATTGATTTGTGTCCTTACCGTGTACCTAGAGGGGAAAGACTTACGTCTGAATCGACACATTTAAACTATAATGGATTAAATTAAATAAGAATAAAAAAGAAAACAAAAACCTCAGAACACCAGAAATCTAAATCCGACCAAAAAAGCACCCCGAAACATAAGAAGCAAGGAATGAGAAAATGAAAAACAATATTTGAAGATCAACTTAGAGAAAAACACTCAAACATTACATAGACGCACCTAGACAAACAACTATAATGTATACAAAAAATTCAGAGAAATATAAAATTCGTGGAGCACGGAAGGATAGACTAAAAGTAGGTAGGGCAAGATTGTTAAAAAAAAAAAAGAAGGCAAAGGTGACCTGGCGGGGAGGCGATTAAAGTGAGCCCATAGTTGATCGTCGAAGTCCGGCTCTTGCGCCTCGGGGTGGTTCGACTCCTTGAGGCGGCGCAGAACCTCATTGTACACCTCCACCTTCTTCCGGTGCTGGCGGTTCTTGGTATCCATCGATTCCACCACTCTGCTACTACAGCTCTCGTTATCTTTCATCACCATTAGAATTTCGCAACTATTTCCACAGCAACAAAACTCTTAAATCTTAGCTCTCGAGATCCAAAAAGCGTCGCGATTTATACGAGACAGAACTCCCATCTGGGGGTGGATTTATACGTAGTAAGATGCGGATTCGGATTTGAGAAACAGAAACTCAATGCAAAAAATATTTATTTTATAGATGCATATTTCGTGACTACCAACTCACGAATAGGATAATAATAACAAATACTACTAATGCAGCAGCTTGGTTTATGACTTGATCCATATCCTCAACTCTCTCTCTCTCTCTCCAAAAGTGTATTGCTGACTAGGTGAAACGTGTCCTTACTACTAACATCAGGACCAACATGGTACAACATTTTGAATCATGCTACAATTACAGCTTTATTTAACAATTCTCTCACCGCGACAGCCTCCTCACATAGGGATGGAGCCCACGATCGCGGACCTCAACCCCATGTAAGGAAATTGTCAAATAAAGTCGTACATTCAGCTTTCTTGTAACATTTTATTACAGAAGTGATTGATTACACTATCGTCAGGTCACCTTATGCTAAGCACAATACTTAGAAGATCAATTCCGATAGAAGTAATTTTATTCTTGAAATTCCAACAAATTTAGGATAGAAAAGAAATTAATTGTATTCATGAAGGTTAAAATTTACATTTTAATTATGGGTAATTAGAGAAGTAACAAATAGGATTCATTCTTCTAAAGATTTTGTTGATTTTTCTAGACATGTATATCGATTTGTCTTGTAACAATAAACAATCATGCTGCACTGACCGAAAATGGTTGACATGCAACCTGGCCGAATACTCACAATAGGGGGAGGAGCCACATTTTTTTTTGAAATTTTTTATTTACGCAAGCCCGCACGCATGTGAGAGGCTGTCGACGCTTCTGTCACCCATTTTCGGGCGGGGAAGTTTAATTCAACAATAAATTATTTAACATGTAAACATTAATCTCATGTAATGTCATGAGATGCTCACAATCAAATTACACAAATTTGTGTAAAGATTAATACATAAATTTTGCCTAGTTGGGATTTTTATTTTTATATTTTTTTCGTTGAAGTTCACGAGAGATGTGTGAAATGCAGATAGAAGTGAGGGGGGACACTTTCTTTTTCTGATGCCAACTTTTGGGGTGGAGAGTGAACCGCCGAGATAAGAGCGTGACATTTCCATCTCACTTGGCTCCCACTTAATATTGAAAGCAAAATTTACTTTGTTACATCTTTTTACATGTGCTTTATGCTAAGTGCAACATTTTCCTTTTTTCCCTTTTAACTTGAGATTAGATATAAAAAATTACAATTAAAATCGATATCTTGTTAGACAAATTCATATCGACATCGCATGGAGCAAAAGGGGTCCAAACAAATATTGTTTGGTGATTTTTCTTCCTTTTTCTTCTATGAAGAAACCTATAAATCATGTCTAATCATCTATCAGGAAAATCATATAAGGATTGCGATTGATTTTCAATACAATCGAGACAAGATATTTTGAAACAGTGAAAACAATAAAATCATTTATTTCCACATGCATAAGTTTAATTTGTCATTGTATGATCAGTATTGTATCAAACATGTATAATTACACGTGTTTTATTTTGTAGACTTAGGCTACAAATTAATTAATGACCAACTAGTAAAGATTGTGACATATTAAAGTAATATATAATTTAATAATAAAAGGGCGTGTATATATAAAGCTGGGCATATTCTTTCAATAATGCTGCTAGGGTTTAGTCATCTTTAACTAATGATGAATAATTAGATTATTAACACGTAGTTTAATAAAAGAAATACTTTTGGTGTCGAAAGGTGAATTGCTACAGCATATCGTGTTAATGCTTTTACAATCATGTTTGGTTTACATCGAAATTTTCATTTCATCACGTGCCAACCTAACATTTGACAGTTTAAAAAATAAAACGATTTTTTAATCAATCAAATCTTGCCAACAAGACTCCCACTTCCTTTACTTTCTCTCCCCTCTCTCTAACCGACCCAAACCCTAACGATCTTGTCAGGGGGTGAGAGCTTCTTCCCCCTTCCTCCCTTTCTTCCCCCTTCCATCTCTTTTTGTTTTTGTTTAGGTTGCATGTGGCTGCAGTGGTGTGTTGACGGTTTTTGGGTGGTTGCGGTGGTGTTTTAGCAGTGTTTCGGTTGCATGTGGTGGCTGTGTGTGCTTGTGCTTCGATTGGTGACCTTGGCGGACGAGGAATGGCCAAGGATGTATGAATGGAGTTCCATACGCGAACTGGGTCCTCGTTTTCGTCGGATCTCCTATTGCCGGTGCCTGCCGGGGGGGTGTGCGCCGCCGGGCTCAGTCGACGATTCTTGCTGTTTGGATTTTCTGAGTTGTTTTTGGGTGGTTGTTTGATGGTGTTTAGTTTGTTGTTTAGTTACTATTTGTGTTATGGCTTTTGGACATTGGGTCCATTGTTGAGACTCTTGCTTTGCAGAGTGCTCTTGCTCTCTTCGAAGAAATCCTGAAGTTTAGACAATGTTCGTCACTCTGTATGCGGGGGTGCTCAAGTGCAGTTTGCATATGTTGGCTTATTGTCGGGTTTCCTGTATTGATAAGTCACATTTGTAATTTTGATGTGTTGAATGAATTTCCATTCCATTTCAAAAAAATAAAAAGAATGATGTCAAGCATGATGTAGAAATATGGTATACAAGTGACTTTATCTATACTTTTATTTAATTTATATGTAATGATTAAGAAGTCCATTATATGTTGATCTTATTACAAAATCTCGTGAAACACGACAAATGAGATTAAATATTTCATTATTTTGTTAAAGGTAACCAACATTTTTTTGCTTAGAATGTGTTTGATTCATTTTAATTTTCATGAATTCATGAAAAATGTCATTTTTTCACCAAAATTCATTTTAGAGTGTTTGATTGGCAATTTTTTCATAGAAAATATTTTCCAACTTTGATCATGTGATCATATTTTTTCAAAAATAAGGAAGACATTTTTTTTATGGATGGAGATTTTTACTTTCTAGGTAAATCTCACACACACACACACACACTCTCTCTCTCTCTCTCTCTCTCTCTCATCTATCCACTAATAAAAAATTGACAAGTACAATATTTTCTAGTTGAAAATAAAATCAATTAAATACATTTAATTAATAATTTTCATACAAATAAGTTATAGGCAATTGAATTGCTTATAATTTATTTTCTTTTCATGCAAATTTCATACTCATAGTCAAGCGAACCTGATGAAAAGCATAGAAAATAATTGACAATTTTGATTGCACTGCATGAAAAGCACGGAAGATAATTGACAATTTTTATTGTATCAAGCATGAAAAGCATGGATAAATGCGGTTTTAAATACTTTTACGTGACGAAGAAGAAATCATTAAGTAGTTGTCAACTAGTTATTTAAAATTTATTCATAAATGTAGGAATTAAAAATTATTTTCTTAATGATAATGTCCGCGTGGCTTAATTAATATTTATTGGGATTAGTAAGTTGAGCTAATCCATTTAAAGAACAGATTCGCATCACTGAGGAATAAACCATATTCGTTCTATCTACAAAAACTACATTTATTTTCAAATACTAGCATTTTGACATTAATACCAAATAAAAAAAATGCTATGTGGCCTCATTGTGTTGGAATATTCTAACAATATTTGGGGCCACACGTAACAAATTAAAATGTGTGGTGCTATTATTTAAAGTATAGTCATTAAAGTGATCCACAAAAGACAAATTTTTGACTAATGGGTATTAAAGTTTCATGGAATTAAAGTGTAGAGACCGGATGTTTGTTTTATATTGTTGAGGGGCCGATTTAAAACAAATGAAAGATAATGAATAGTCATTATCTTATGAATATATAGGTTATGGTCCCCAATTGTTAGTGGT